GCCTAGCCTGGCCCGGCCTGGCTTGACCTGGCCTGAGCGAAGCCTGATCTGGCCCTGCCTCTGCTTGTCTGGCCTGGTTGCCTAGCAACCAGTTCCCGGGCCTGGCCCGGCTTGACCTGGCCTGAGTGCAGCCTGGCCCTGCCCTGACCCTGCTGGTCTGGCCTGGTTGCCTAGCAACCAGTGGTCGGGCCTAGCCTGGCTTCACCTGGCCTGAGTGCAGCCTGGCCTGGCCCGGCCCCTGCTGGTCTGCCCATGTTGCCTAGCAACCAGTGACCTCGCCTAGCCTAGCCTAGCCTGGCCCGGCCTGGCTTGACCTGGCCTGAACATAGCTTGGCCCGGCCCGGCCCCTGCTGGTCTGGCCTGGTTGCCTAGCAACCAGTGACCTAGCCTGGCCCGTCTTGACCTGGCCTGAGCATAGCCTGGCCCGGCCCGGACCCTGCTGGTCTGGACTGATTTTTACCAATCAGTGACCTGGCCTAGACTGGTCCGGCATGGCTTGATCTGACCTGAGCATAGTCTGGCCCGGCCTGGCCCCTGCTGTTCTGGTCTGGTTGCCTAGCAACCAGTGAACTGGCCTGGCCTGGCCTAGCCTGGCCCGGCCCGACCTGGCCTGGCTTGACCTGGCCTGAGCGAAGCCTGACCCGGCCCTGCCCGATTGTCTGGCCTGGTTGCCTAGCAACCAGTGGCCGGGCCTAGCCTGGCTTCACCTGGCCTGAGTGCAGCCTGGCCTGGCCCGGCCCCTGCTGGTCTGCCCATGTAGCCTAGCAACCAATGACCTGGCCTGGCCTGGCCTAGCCTAGCCTAGCACGGTCCGGCCTGAATGCAGCCTGGCCCGGCCCTTCCCCTGCTGGTCTGGCCTGGTTGCCTAGCAACCAGTGACCTGGCCTGGCCCGGCTTGACCTGGCCTGAGTGAGCCTGGCCCGGCCCTGCCCCTGCCGGTCTGCCCATGTTGCCTAGCAACCAGTGACCTCGCCTAGCCTGGCCCGGCCCAGCCCAGCCTTGCTTGACCTGGCCTGAGTATAGCCTGGCCCGGCCTGGCCCCGGCTGATCTGACCTGGTTGCCTAGCAACCAGTGGCCGGGCCTGACCTGGCTTGACCTGGCCTGAGCGCAGCCCGGCCCGGCCTGTGCTGGTCTTGCCTGGTTTCCTAGCAAACAGTGACCTGGCCTAACCTGGCCCGGCCCGACCTGGCTGGCTTAACCTGGCCTGAGTGAAGCCTGACCCAGCCCTGCCCTTGCTGGTCTGGGCTGGTTGCCTAGCAACAAGTGGCCGGGCCTAGCCTGGCTTCACCTGGCCTGAGTGCAGCCTGGCCTGGCCGGCCCCTGCTGGTCTGCCCATGTTGCCTAGCAACCAATGACCTGTCCTGTCCTGTCCTGTCCTAGCCTAGCCTAGCCCGGCCTGGCCTGAATGCAGCCTGGCCCGGCCCTGCCCCTGCTGGTGTGGCCTGGTTGCCTAGCAATTAGTAACCTGGCCTAGCCTTGCTCGGCCTGTCCTGGCTTGACCTGGCCTGAACGCAGCCTGGCCTGGCCCGGTGCCCTGCTTGTCTGGGTTGGTTGCCTAGCAACTGGTGATCTGGCCTCGCCTGGACCCGCCCGGCTTCACCTGGCCTGACCTGGCCCAGCCCGGCCTCCGCTGGTCTGGCCTGGTTGCCTAGGAAACAGTGACCTGGCCTAGTCTGGCCCGGCCCGACCTGGCCTGGCTTGCCCTGGCCTGAGCGAAGCCTGCCCCGGCCCTGCCCCTGCTTGTCTGGCCTGGTTGCCTAGCAACCAGTGGCCGGGCCTAGCCTGGCTTCACCTGGCCTGAGTGCAGCCTGAACACTGGTTACTAGGCAACCAATGACCTGGCCTAGCCTAGCCTAGCCTGGCCTGGCCTGGCCTGGCCCCTGCTGGTCTGCCCATATTGCCTAGCAACCAGTGGCCTGGCCTGGCCCATCTTGACCTGGCCTGAGCATAGCCTGGCCCGGCCTGGACCCTGCTGGTCTGGACTGATTTTTACCAATCAGTGACCTGGCCTAGCCTAGCCCGACCTGGCCTGCCCTGGCTTGACCTGGCAGCCTGGAACCGTTCCGCTGCTGGTCTGGCCTGTTTGCCTTGCAACCAGTGACATGGCCTGGCCCGTCTTTACCTGGCCTGAGCATAGCCCGGCCCGGCCCGGCCCCTGCTGGTCTCGTCTTGTTGCCTAGCAACCAGTGATCTCGCCTAGCCTAGCCTGGCCCGGCCCGGCCCGGCCTGGCTTGACCTGGCCTGAGCATAGCTTGGCCCGGCCCGGTCCCTGCTGATCTCGCCTGGTTGCCTAGCAACCAGTGACCTCGCCTAGCCTGGCCCGGCCCGGCCCAGCCTGGCTTGACCTGGCCTGAGCATACTGGCCCGGCCCGGCCCCTGCTGCTCTGGCCTCGTTGTCTAGCAACCAGTGGCCGAGCCTAGCCTAGCCCGGCCTACCCTGGCTTGACCTGACAGCATGGCCCGGCCCTTCCCCTGCTAGTCTGGCCTGGTTGCCTAGCA